CTCCTGCATCGGCAGGCGGACTCTCAAGCACTGCGCCACCAGGGAAGCCCCGAATATTTTGATTTTTAAACTAGAAAATTAAACTTGATAACAGAAACAGATTATTTCTGATCATCATAAAATAAGACTCATTTAATTAAAGTAACCTAAGTCCTTTGAAAGTAAACAATCCAAGTATCTCTACTTTATAGATTTTACCAAGAAAGCCAATTAAAATGAAAATCATATCAGTTGATAATACTAAAGTGCAAAAAGTTAATTTGAACATCTAGAAACAGCACAAATATTGGAACCTCCGGAGTTACCATGTCAGTGTGGGGAATAAGCCAGTGCTTTTCCTTTGGGCCTCTGTTCTATTAATCCCCCTTGCTGTGTTTTTGTGCTCCTCCGCTCTCCAGGATCGTTCACTGTGTTTGTTCCACTAATAAACTTATCTTTTGTCATTTTGCAGGTGAAGAATTTTCTTTCTTGAAGCATCTTTCTCACATGGTGACTGCTGAAGAGAGTCAGTATGTGATGAAAATTGCCAATGCCCTCTTTGTGCAAAATGGATTTCATATCAATGATGAGTTTTTGCAAATGATAAAAAAGTACTTTAACGCAGAAGTCAATCATGTGGACTTCGGTCAAAATGTAGCTGTGGCCAACCATATCAATAAGTGGGTGGAGAATAATACAAATAGTAAGTCATTTGGTTCCTTTCTTTCTCTAATAGCTTAGTTTTAACTCCCTTTTACTTCTGAAATTATTTGTCCCCTTTTTCCTTTTTACATTTTGAATGTTAGATTGCATTTAGTTGAGTATCGACTAATTATTTTGTATAGATTACAGCCTATTTAATTAAATTAATTAATTAATTAATTATTTTTTTTTGCGGTACGTGGGCCTCTCACTCTTGCAGCCTCTCCCGTTGCGGAGCACAGGCTCCGGACGCGCAGGCTCAGCAGCCATGGCTCACGGGCCCAGCCGCCCTGCGGCATACGGGATTCTCCCAGACCGGGGCACGAACCCGCGTCCCCTGCACCCACAGGCGGACTCCCAACCACTGCGCCACCAGGGAAGCCCTGATTACAGCTTATTTTAGAAGCATTGTTTATGAATAAACATTTGAGAAAGAAGTTAATTCTTTTGGCATGTATAGAATATTGGCACTGATAAATTAATATGAAATCTGTGCTCTCCAGTTGGTGAGTTTCATCTGAATAGTAATCTTAACTACTGTATGGAATTTTGCTTGAGCTGACCATTTAATAAGTTAGATACTAGTTAGAATCACAGTTGCTGGCTCTCTTAACAATATGATTAAAATAGAGTAAGAGAGTTTAAAGATATTTGTTGGCTTTTAAACCACAGAACTTGATTGCTAATCAAAAACTTTGTACAGGATTCCTTTAAAAAAAAGAGCAGCCCATTTTAAGCCCAAACAAATGGAGAGGAATTAGAAAAGGATGCATTTGTTTCAAATTTTAATTCTAAATCATATTTTAAAAATGTATTTAAGGGGGCTTCCCTGGTGACGCAGTAGTTGAGAGTCCGCCTGCCGATGCAGGGGACATGGGTTCGTGCCCTGGTCTGGGAATATCCCACATGACGCGGAGCGGCTGGGTCCGTGAGCCATGGCCGCTGAGCCTGCGCGTCCGGAGCCTGTGCTCCTCAATGGGAGAGGCCACAACCGGGGG